CCCCCCAAATTCGGAAATTGTGAGTTTAGGGGTGCTGTGCGACGACGCTGTCGCATTTTTTGTTTTCTTTCCCCAATCATAGGAGGGGAACGGCATGATTCTTTTTTTCTTTTTTCTTTTTCTTTTTTTTGCGGGGGGTGGGGAGGGAAAGAGGTCGGCTTTTTTTACGGCTGAAAATCGGGTTCAGCGTCCCTTACAAAATTGATAGACGCTCGAGTCCTTCCCTCGGTTATGGCCAACAAGGAATCCTGGGACAGTGGAATTGATTGCCCCCTCTGGGGAAGGATTTACCCCTGGCCAGTAGGTTCTTGAGAGATCCCGAGGGGAACAACATGACTCCGTTCTTTTCATGAATGTACATTGTACATACAAACTTTTTTTTTTTTTTTTTTTTTTTGGAAAAATAGCCCTTGCGTAAGCCCTCTATCCCGGCGGTGGTAAGCGAGCCTCCAGAATTGAGGGCTGCTCCATCTATTGGTGGGGAGCGGCCCCTGCTGGAAAGCGGGTCCAGCGTCTACTTTTTTCGGTATGGGTCTCATCCGATATTCCCTTCCTGTCTGCATCCTATCTTCTGCTTAAATCTTAAACCTTTGAAGGTGCGTGCTATGAGCGGGTTTGTTGCTCTCCTAAGGACCTTAAACCCTAAACCCTATGTATGCCGTGTTTCCCTGGAAAGGGTTGAATGAGGGCAGAACGCCCTTTCCGGACCCCTCCAGGTCCATCAGTGTTTCTCCGTCCTGCTCTACCCTTGGGATGCCGGGATCCCACCACTCTGTGAAATGGAGGGTGGGGTTCTTCCCGTTAATCATGCTGATACCACCCTGCATCTACCTCTCCAGATTACCCACAGGGTTGTTGTTGTTCTTCGCAGCGGCTCTATCATTTCACTGTCTTCCTCGGGGAATATGCCTTTGCGCCGTTCGCGGTCGATTGCTGTCATTGACAAGAGGAAAAGCTGTTCATTAGGGGATTCAAATTATCGTTTCTAACGCCTGAACTTGGTGCAAGCTTGGGGTCAAGTTCGGGAAGGAGAAGAAACAGAGAGGAGAGCCCTTTTTCTTTTGGAATGGACCTAAACATTCAAAGTTCAAACCGTAACATGTTTGCCAAATCAATTTGTCCATTTTTATTAACATTTATTTATCTGGAAAAAAAAAATAAAAAAAATTATTATCTGATCCAAACTCCCCACCTCACAATGGCTTTTGGCTTGGATCGGACAGACCACGAGTGCCTGCACCTTGGATCACTAACCAGGGGCAAAGCCCCATCTTTTTTTCTTTTTTTTTTTCCCTCTGCTCATCATCCAGCAGCGCAAAGCCCCGTCTCCATCTCCACCTCACGAAATAAGTAATGTAACGTTAAAAGTTAAAACTTAAGACATAAAAGTCACTGTGGTAAGAAAAAAAAAGTGGCATTTCACTTGTGCCGTAAAGCTCCCACTTACGGCGCCGCCGCACGGCACACGAAACGAAAAACGAAACGAGTGCATCTTCCCGCAGAAAATGGCCAGGTTCATCCGTTTGCAATAACTAGTAACCAGTGTATCTTGCCACCTTCCTTGGGCAGATGCACCCGTTTCGTTTTCTTTCTGTGCGCCGTAAAGCTCCCACTTATTCTACACCTCTCAACTCTTTTCATGGAGTTGAACTAGAGTCATGTCAGACGATTTAAGAAAAAAAAAAAAAAAAAAAAAAAAAAAAAAAAAAGAAGAAGAAGAAGAAGAAGAAGAAGAAGAAGAAGATATATAATGCAGGTGCCCTAAGATGAGCTCAACGAGAACAGAAATCTCGTGCAGAACATTAATGATCGGATTATCAACATTATCTTTGTTGTAATGATTGTATGCAACTACTATGCATGTCATTGTTCTTGCCTATTATAGTATTATTTCAGTCGCTAAACCTTCAAATTGGTCTGCTATGTCTAAAAATAGCTTGCCACTGGCAGCACGGGGCACACTATTTTATGCAGTTCTATTTTGGGCTGCTGCTTCAGCTCAGATGTGAGGAAGTGACGCTAATCGAACACATAAAATAAGACTTTGGGTGCCTTACACCGTTCTCGGCCTTTTGGCTAAGATCGAGTGTAGTATCTGTTCTGATCAGTTTAATATCTGATCTGTGGTCCATCGGGCCACACGATATTTTACAAAAAAAAAAAAAAAAAAAAAGACTTTGGGTGCCTTACCTTTAGTGGTATCTTAGACAGTTGTTTTATCGGCTTTCACTATCGTATTCCGAGAGGTGCAAGGCCCGGCATGTCTGTGTACTTGGGGGCATGAGATGCACTTTATACCCCATCTCTTGTCTTAGTAATGACCTCTTGTCTGCATTGAGTAGTCGAACACGCAGTGAGGAAGGAGGGGAAGAGAAGAGAAAGAGAGGGGGAAAGAGAAGGAGAGTGGAAGGACGAGAAGAGCAGGGAAAATGGGCACTACATGGGGTCCTCAATACTCACTAGCAGAGAGCAGGCTGCTACAGACTGGCACAAGATACCAGTCAGGGGCCGGGTTGCAGGGGAAAGTGAGCGGAGGAGCGGGCATTGCCTATGGTAAATGGGCCCTGAGCAGTAAAAGAGGGAGAAGGTCTGTGGTATAAATCATGTCCATACCTCTACAACGTTGTTGTACTGAGAGAAGTAGTCCTTGACTACATTGTTATTTTTCATCTCTATGGTGAGTGGGCACCCCTGCGGACTGGACAGGACCGGTTTCGGGTGTGGATTGTGGAAGGAAGCAAACACAAGACACACCACATCTGTCTGCAGTTGAAGTCAATGTGTCGAATGCTGTCGCCGCAGAGAAAGACGTCACATCGATGCGACTCCCAAATGCTAGAAACACAGAGGCACGGCACCCACAGTTGTATATGCATATTTGTTCCAACCCCTGTCTACAAGTACGACCTGCTGCTGCATGAGACTGCCGTACATGAGGACAGCGTCGACTGGCGTCATAGGCATGAACACAAGAACATGCATTGACTAAACGCCTCACAATGTTGACGACACGAAGACCGTCAATCGCACGATAGCCGAAGCTCGGGCAGGCTTACACAGTAGAGCATTCAGCAAGTTCCTGGGGACTCCACAGCCCGCATGGCCTGTCTCTGGACAGGCGATACTGGGGTCGGATCGAGAGTAACGATGTTTAGCTGTTCTAAGATCCAGTACGCCAATGCTCGCCCAGGGCCAGGAGGCGATAACCTTTCAGCACGCCGCACTGCAGGCAGTTCATGTGAGAGTCCGTTTTCTGCCGCAGGCTGTGTCTGTCCCTCGTCCAGCAAGCATGGAGACAGTTTGATTACAGGTGCAGACGGAAGGACGTCCCCCGTTACATGCGGGACATGAACGGAGAGCATGCGGTGGACGATGGCGCCGTGAACAAGTAAGTCCCTGCAGTGAAGATGGATGATGACATCGCATCGCGGAAAGTCCACTCAATGCCGACACATCCATCTTGAAGGCATCGAGTCATCAATGAAGGTAAATGACGGCATCGAGTCTCCATGATCGCAACTTACTCCCGATGACAGCTTCCTGGAAACATTGGTGGCAAATGGGGTGTTGCTGGCATGCCAGCAAGAAAGCCAACTTGTGCTCACAGTTATTCAACGTGGCATGTAGAGTTCCACCACGTGGTGGTCCCCACCAATGTACAGGAGCCATCTGCCAAAGCTGCTACTGCGGGTTGCTCTTCTCAACCCCGGTAGCATTGAGAGCAGATGTTTAAGAGAAGACGAAGAAGAAGAAGAAGAAGAAGAAGAACAGCAACAACAGCAGCAGCAGCAGCAACAACAACAACAACAAGCATGTCAAGTGTACAATTAAGCATGTGGAGGGGGACCCACCACATTGGGCACCCATTAAGCATGTGGAGGACGGGACGAACGCAAGACGAATGTCTGTCACCCTAAACACAGAGACGAAGGCGTCCTGAACACAGCAGCCCCCCTTATGGTGTTTAGTGTAATCCCTAAACCCTAAAACAGATAAAAATAAGATGGAGCCTC